TCAAGTACTCCTGCACCCCGAAGCAAACACAGGAGCAAGTCTCCTGGAAGGGTAAGGCCCTGGGGACAGAGTTCAAGGACTCCTACCCCCAAAGCACACACAGGAGCAAGCCTCCTGGAAGGGCAAGGCCCTGGGGACAGAGTTCAAGGACTCCTGCCCCCGAAACAAACCTAGGAGCAAGTCTCCTAGAAGGGTAAGGCCCTCGGGACAGAGTTCAAGGACTCCTGCCCTCGAAACAAACACAGGAGCAAGCCTCCTGGAAGGGTAAGGCCCTGGGGACAGAGTTTAAGGACTCCTGCCCCCGAAGCACACATAAGAGCAAACCTCTTGGAAGGGTAAGGCCCTGAGGACAGAGTTCAAGGACTTATACGCCAAAAAAAAAATTCACGCAAGAAAGTATAAGTACTGCAAAAAAACTTTATTTCAAAAAGAGGGGCTTTGCATCCCCAAGAGCTACAAGAGAAAAAAGTACAATCAAAAAGAAAAGAGCTTTCATCTGGCCCCGGGCATCTCTAAAACATCGCCCAAGGACGAATTAGCGTAAAAGGGTTGAGCATCTTCGGGAGCAGGCAGAATGGGAGGCATTTCGACAACAGAGAGAACCTGAGGAATATTATTTTCAGGGGCCCGGTCCGGCAGGACCTCATCAGAAAAATCCACGATTACCGCCTCGGACAGATCAGCCAAAACTTGCACCGGCGTTGGAATCGCGCCCTCGGCAGCAATCTCGGCTTCGACCTGTTCCATCTCTGTTGAGGGCATGTATCTGTGCATCTGGAAGAGCGGGGAGTCTGACGGGATCCCAGCAGACTAGAGCGCCTCATCCCACCCCTTCTTTAAGAACTCTTTGCTATTTTCCTCAAGAGCGGGGAGCACGTCATCGGCGAACTCTTCTCGGAGTTGCTCCTCGGACTTCTTGTTCTGTGCCTTGGCCTTGATCCTGTCCAGCTCCTGGGTCAGAGCCAGATAGCTTTCCTCTGAACCAACAACCCTATTCTCTGCCGCAGAGAGCCGCTGCGTCTGCTCTGTAATCCTCATCTCATCGTCGACAAGGGCAGCACTTAGCTTTTCAGTGCCGACCTTCGCCAACTCGGCATCCTTGAGGAGTTGCTCGATTTGAGCAGCCTGCCCCGCGAGGGTGAAATCCCTGGCAGCTACGTCCTCCTTAGCACTGGCGAGGGCTCCCTCGACTTCTTCCTTCTACTCTCGAATCCGCTGAAGGTCCATCCTAGCCCCATGATACCGCGCCGCTATTATAGAAATCTGTTGGGTGACCTGCAAAGGAAAGAGCATGTCACTAAAAGGAAAGACGGCTAAAAAAGACCGAAGCAAAGATGAACTTACCACCAAGAAATTCTAGATGATAGAGCAAAACAACAAGTTCGTTGATCGTCCCCTATGAGCCACTATGTCGGCCTCGAAATGCAGCGTCTCACTCACTGCATTGGCGACATGAGGGTCCTGCAAAATGGAGTCGTCGACCCTGATCACTCGGTTCATGTGATCAGTGGCTCAAGAATTCCACTCCGCGGCTTTCACTGTCTGCGGAAGGGGAGGAGTCTGTTGTTGCTGAGGAGCAGGAGGTAACCCATGGCCTCTCCCACTTTGCTGCTGAGCAGAGGGGGCCCTGGATCCTCTGCCAAGGCCGTCGTGCCTATGTTTGGCCCTCCTCTCCTCCTCTCCTCCTCTACCTGAGGATCCCGGTCACGCACTTGACCCTGACCGACAACTCTTGAGGATAGGGTGGCGCTGGTCCCTGCAGATGAGGCCCCACCGATTGATCATCGTCCCCTCCCAGTAGCAAGGGCTTGCTTCTGCCTCAGGAACCCTAGATCAATGCGGGGCGTGTTGGACATAGCTATCTCGAGGGCGTCCTCAGCGTCTAGAGATTGTAGGATTTGGAACTCCGGCCACGAATCTCTCCCCGAAGTCCCCACCTCGACGTGCGAAGGAACGAAGTCCTCTCTGACTCCGAGCTCTTCAGCTTCACCCTCTACTTCTGCCTCCGTAGCTTGGTCAGGGTCTTTCTCCAAGTTTTCCTCGACCTCTTACCTCACCGCCTGATCGAAGAGTTCAGACCACCGTGAAGGCTCGAAAGGCTGGGGAAGCTGTGAAAACTTTTTATATCCGGGAGTGTAATTCAGGAGGATGTGGGCAGCCCGGCCGAGCCCGTCGTCACCAGTAAATCTCCAAACAGTGACTAAGTCTGCAAAGTTCACCAACGACCGAGGTGGAGGAGCTGTTTCCCAAGGGGAGATGTCTATACAAACAAAAAGAGAAGAGTGAGTCATGAACGCGTAGAAAAGCTCAAGAACAAAATAATAGACCCGAAGGAACTGACGTACTTGTTGTTCTCCATTCCAAAGGACATAACAAGCCGTTATACTCGGGACCGACACCTCTCTGCCAAGATCCCTTGAAGATAAGTAGGTCATCCTTGTACCCTTTGTCTGAGTCGGGAAGTGAGTTACGAGGTACATAGATGGGTCCCTGACTTTGAGGTAGAAGTGTTGTTGAGGCATGACTCTCAAGAGGGAATAGCAAAAAAGGATATCGTTCAGCCCAACATTTACCCCGAGACGCCTACTGAGCTCTAGGACCCCCATAATTATCCTAAAGACATTAAGACAACACTACCCGAGGAAGAGGTGGAAATGAGAGAGGAACTGGAGAAGTAGAGGGGGCAGAGGGAACCTATTTGCTGCCTTCTATGATGGCTTTAGTATAAAAGGGCATTGCATCCTCGGTACCGAGGGTACACAGTCGGGTTATAATCCTTTATGTCTACATTCAGGGGAATGCTGTACTTAACCCTAAATCTATTAATTTGTTCACCACCTTTTACTTTATACTTCCCTGACCTCGAAGAACTGGCTTGAGGACTCTCGGGGGCAGGGCGACGACGAGGCATCTCCAAAAAGTGATAAAAAATGGAGGGGGTCTTTTCCACGAAGATCCCCAAGGAGGCTTCCGGAGGATTGGTCGCTGAATCGCAACTAGAAAACACTTCCCGTTATCGGAGAACCAAAAGAGACAGAAAGGCAAAGAGAACGAAGATACTGGGACTCACCAGAATATAAAAAGAAGTTTTTTCTGGAAAACTTGAATCGACTCCTTCCAGAATGTTCAGAAGCAAGGATGAGTCTGCTGGCTTTAAAACTTCGGTGCAATGGTTGGGCAGTTGACAACGGAAGAAAAGGGATCTCCGGCGAAATTTCGGCAAGGGCTCTCTGGAGAAAGTTCGGAATGACGAAATAAGAAAAGAAGAGAGGGAGCCCATTTATATAGTATTTATCCCATCATTGGGCGCGAAGCACGAAAAGACCCATTTAATGCGCACGACGTCCTAAGTAGGGGAAAGCAGCTAGAGGCAATGATGAAGCGGTTGAGGTTGTTGCAGAACCTTTCGTCTCCTTACGACGCGTGTCCTCGGTGTCAAAAGATCAAAGGCTGGGGGGCAGTTGATGGGACATTTTTAAAATACTCCAAGATGAAGACACATGTCCTCGGTGTCACTAAATTCTTGTTACTGTGATCACGACACGTACCCATCGGTTCACAAGTCCCTCTCCCCCGAGGTACTGGTCGTTGGGATCAATGGCATCCAGTACGTTTACGTACTGACACGTACCCCTCGGTCGGGGGGATATGGTACATCGGTCCCTATGTGTACCTCCTTCTCGGTTCCAAGGAGTACCGTCCAGGATGGCATTCTCTGCTCCCGCAGAGCTATTGATGTACAAGACCCTAGCCTAGGCTAGACTAGGTTAGTCATCATGACCTCGTCTTACACAATTGGTGTCAGAAGGCTCAAGAAGGCAGGGAACACAGCCAATGGGGAACGGACGCGTGGCATATTGTGTCACATCAGAGACAGAAAGACCGGATGCCCTTGCTGACACAGGACTTGGGAAAACAAGCATTCAATTACACTATTCCCTTGATGAGACAACATTTAATGCGGTAAAAGCTCGGAAGTGAAAAGTAATAAATGTCTCTAAGGCTGAACATTTATTACATGCTCCCCGAGAGGAGCTCATTGAACAGTCGGCAGGCCGATGACACAGCCTTGGTTGCTCGGGATCCCGAGCAGTTAAAAGAGAAGATATTCCTCATAGGAAGCCGTGCACACGTTGCCTGTATATAATGATCACCTACTGACTACACTGACAGTAATCATGAGTTTTTAAGGTATAAATACTTCTCTCAAAAAGCAAGACGGTATGCAACGAAAGACCTTTGCTACAAATTATACTAAGTATTTTCTTCTTCCTCTCTCTCAAAAAATTGACTTGATTGTCGGAGGGGATACGCCGAAAAACACTCCGGCGCCTTTCTAACTTGTCTTTCTTTGTTCCAGGAACCTTCCTCAGCCTTACTGGATCATTCCGTTGATCCACGAGGATCTCCCATTACCGTTCCAGGTTACCACCGGACCTCACAGGCTGTTCCAAGCAGCAGAGTTGATCACTCGACTGACTCATTCGAGTTCACCAAGGGAGAGATCTGTTATCGTGTTTATATTGTGCAAGATCCAGCGCCATCTGTTATATTTTTATCGAAATTAAAGTAAAAAGAAAGATAGAGTGAATTAATGAAATTATTTGATATTACTGGGTGTGTGAATGTATTGACCGACTTAGATGATATTGGCGACCGCCATCTGCACCCAGATCCGGATGGATACCAAACTAAAACAGGAAGGAAAAAAAAAAGGTCTTGGTAGAGGGGAGGGTTTCACACAAGGGAGTGAGCGGTAAAGTTGGATATGTGACCGCGTTGGAGAACACTGCACGACGACACTCTCCACCGGGACCAAAGCCAATCCACAGTTCAAAATCTCATCAACCTCAGGTGAAAATCGCCCCACCCTGCTCCTTATTTCTCTCTCTTCCTCGCATATTTTCATCAGAGTCACATAAATACATTGAATCTCACTTGTCTTTTTACGTTTATGAATTTACTCAATTTTGATACTAGGGTTTAAGCATCTGGCAGAGATGCAGCAACCGCCATCAATGATTCCCGTCATGCCTTCTTTTCCTCCTACAAACATCACCACCGAGCAGATTCAAAAGGTCTGTGCGGATATGAACACTAGTTTTTTGCTTTAATTCAGAGCCTTTTCTCATTTTTTCGCTTCAAATGCATATTTTCTGTTCATTCAGTTGCTTTATGTTTGATTGGGATTTTGTCTTATCTATTCAGTCTAATTTTGTTTTTCAATAACTGGATATAAAGTTTGGTACTTCTATCTAAGTGAAAGTGGCCCTCTTAGCAATACGGCCAATAATCATGCCGCCAGACAAATCCAATATAATTTGATGATTTTACACACTTGTGTCGAACTTTTCTATGCACGCACACTGTATTTAAACGTGAAAGAAAACATAAAGTTAGAGTTTAGAAGGATTTCGGATGATATTGGATTTGGTTGTTTAATTATCTCTTACACTATTTACATTTGTACTTTGGAGGATATGATGGACATTATTAGACCAGCCTCCTTTCCTGCAAATACTATATCATTCATGTCTCTGTTACAATACGGCGAAACTCAATAGTTCGAATGAAGAGAAAAAGATCGTCACCTTGTTGCCGTCAATCTTCATCATTGTCATTGCTTTGTGATGGTAGATCGTCAGTTGCGTAGTTGTTTCGATATAGACTTAGACTTAGACTTGCTACTTTTGCCTTACGAAATAGAGCAATCGAATTTCTTCATTAGCAAAGGACCAACCTTGTCCAGTAACCATTCTGATGATTGGGTGTACAAGACTAAGTGAACATTACTAGATTTTCACTAAACCATTGCCATAGAGCATCTTCAAGTGAATGGCTAAANGCTACTTTTGCCTTACGAAATAGAGCAATCCAATTTCTTCATTAGCAAAGGACCAACCTTGTCCAGTAACCATTCTGATGATTGGGTGTACGAGACTAAGTGAGCATTACTAGATTTTCACTAAACCATTGCCATAGAGCATCTTCAAGTGAATGGCTAAAGCTAAAAAATAGCTAAAATTTAGCTATTTAAAGGCAAAAAAATGCTCCAACAGAATAAATTTAGCTATTCAGAGTAGGTAAAATACATTTTTGTTACAGTGATGCTCTATAGAGCATCACTATAGCATTATGTATTAATAGTTTATAATATATTCTCTCTCTTCTTGTCATTTCCTACCTTTCTTGTCCAGTCTTTGTCTTTCCCTCTATTTTTTTTTTCTCTCCCTTTAATAGTCCCAGCAAAGGTATAAGATATAAGAAATAATATATAAAATAAGTAGTTAAAATATAGAAAATCTGTGGAGTATGTATTGAAAAAATGAGTAACTAAAATAAAAAAAGTGCACTTTTGAATAATTAAAATACAAAATTTTGTTGGAGATGCTCAGTGAGCTAAACAATCCATAGCACCTCATTAATGAGAAGTGTTGGTTATCATTGGTGGAAGACATAATGAACAGAGATGGTAGCATTATTTGTTTCCATGCAAAGCTGGACTTTGATGCACATTATGTCATGAACAAGTTTATATTGTTAATTGAAATGAATCATTGTCCTAATATTCCCGTATAAAAGTGGATATAAGGATGATCTACTTACAGACCATATCTTAATGCCACATCTAGGATTTAGAAATTATGAGTTATTGCACTTGTTGTATGCCGGTTACCAGTTATGTCAAATTACTTTGTTGAAATCTCAAATCGAGATTCTTGGTGGGGAGTCAAAATCCTTGTTTTTTGCATCGAGAATAAAAAAGAATTGTGAATCATTAAGATTTAGGACCTTTGAATCTGGCCCACTCTCTGAAGGGTGGTCTTATTGTGCTCTTTTGATAGAGGATTACATGGGACCCCTTTCTAATCTCAATGTTTGTCTCTTCTATGCCTCTTAGGCCAAGGGCAACCTTTTCTCACCTTTGTTCTTCTATGCCCTCTTTTAATAGAGGATTACATGTGGCTAGTCAATATCTTTGTCATTATTTTTATCTATGAATTCCTTTACTAATTTTTTATCTTTTTGGTCATGGCCTCTCTTGGTCGTGCTTAGCTTTTTTGTTGAGATTTTTTTTACTCAGCTTCTTGCTGAGCTTTGTTCTAGCTCAATCTTGTCACTCTATTTCATTACGAGGAATATATTCTTGCTCGGCTTCTCTATCGAATTTTCTTTGATGAGATCTATTTTGCTTAGGTACTCGCCTAGTATTTGCTTATACTTAGCTTTCATACCTAGGGCTAGATGTGCGGGCATCTTCTTTGATCTCTGTATCTGTCAATGCTTTACGCAGAACGTTGAATTTAACATCTTTTTTGCCAACTTCATTTCTAACGATGTTTGATACTGAACTGTGGTCCAATTTGCATTTCTACCGGAGCATGCTTGGCGTAGCTTCTATGTCAAGATCCATTATGCTTGACTTCTTTGTTGAGTATTGTTATGTTCTGGTCATCTTCTTTAGTTTATTTGGCTTCTCTATCAAGTTCTGTTTTGCTCCACTTTTGCACTAAGATCTACACTGCTACATTATAATTTTATTTGTCTTAAATTTTTTTAGGTCTCAATTTGTCGGCTTCTATGTCAAAACATGCTATTGATCCCCTTTAGTGGAGCTTTGCCAAGCTTTTCTGTTCAGACGTGAGCCACTTAGCTTGTGCGAAGCCTTGCAACAGTTGCTCAATATCTTTGTCAGGTTTCTCTATTTTGCTTAGCTTCTCCACCAAGATTCTTGGCCTTTTTGACTTCTTTGTTTTTTTTTTTGATTGAATCTCTTTGACTTCTCCGCCAAAGATATTTGATCTCCTCTGTTTCTTTGATAAGGTTCTCAGATTTTGTCAATTTTTGTGTTGAGCCTATCTGCCCTATTGATTTTTTTGTCAAGGTCTTTTGATCTCATTGGCTTTTTTTGGTTTATTTTTTGAGGTTTGTTCTACGTGTCTTTTTTATTGAGCTCTATATTTGAAGTAAACTAATTGTGCTCTGGTCGGGCAACTCTNCAGATTTTGTCAATTTTTGTGTTGAGCCTATCTGCCCTATTGATTTTTTTGTCAAGGTCTTTTGATCTCATTGACTTTTTTTGGTTTATTTTTTGAGGTTTGTTCTACGTGTCTTTTTTTATTGAGCTCTATATTTGAAGTAAACTAATTGTGCTCTGGTCGGGCAACTCTTCTTGTGCTTGGCCCACTAGTGTAGCTCGACCAAGCCCACTAGTGTAGCTCGACCATTTGTTGGGCAAACTACTTGTGCGATTCCCATTTCTTAGGATAGTGTTTTTCGGAGGGTTGCCACAGTTGTGTCAGACACATGGCTAGGATACGCTGATATTGGTTTTTAAAGAAACGACTATTAACTATTAAAAAGGGTGGGATTTTTTTTTTTAATATATTTTTTGTTCTGTGACTAATATACTATGAATGCTAATAGATATAATGATGTTTGAAGAAAATAGTGGATATTTATTTTGATCTATTTCAATTTGAATTAAAAATTAATATTTGTTAAAACTTATTATTAATAATATATGCATTATTTTTAATATATTATAACTCTATTATTATCTAAAAAATATATAGTTAATTGTACTGGAGGTGCTCAAAGTATAGAGTTTGTCTTATTTTGGTCCTCAATGTTTCAATTGCGTCATTTTGGTCTCTAAAGTATTAAATGTGTTTTTATATGGTCCCTCAAGTCGACAATGTCCATATTGCTAACGATTTTTTATTATAAACTTGTCAAATGATACTTAAATATGGACAAAAAGATAATTTGAATATCACTTGACCAAATTTTTACTCAAATTTTGGTTAAATACCTACATAAATTTCATAGTTTTGATTTTGAGTTATCCAAATTTTGGTCAAAAGCTACTCATATTACACATTTTTTGTCAAAAGCTACCCAATTTTGTTTAAGAGCTATCAAAATTATTTTTAGTTTATATTCAGCTATTACGCGATAAATTTATGATAAAAAATCGTTAGCAATTTAGACATTGTCTGCTTGAAGGGTCATATAAAAACAATTTCAATATTTCAGGAATCAAAAAGATGCAATTGAAATATTGATGATCAAAATGAGACAAACTTCATACTTTGGAGACCTCTAGTGCAATTAATCCAAAAATGTATTTATTATAATTCTATATTTTCAAACTTTGTAGTATTTGGGTATGACACTTGTATTTGTATCCGTTCTTCCTAGCTTCTACTTCTATCATTCTCTAGTTCTTTTTCGAGAAGACGTCTAGAGTTATTTCTTTTTCATATTTTTTTCGAAGAAAGTTACTTATATCTTTGCTATGCTTTGACCAATCAAATCAGTCGGTTCAACCAACTCTTCTCTAGTTGGCAAACTCTCAGTGCAACTCCAGCATCTTAGGAAGGGATCTCATTCTTCAATCATGCTCTAGTACTCTGTAGAGCAAAATTCTGAAACCATTTCCTTTTTTGAGGAAAGTTGTTCCTTCTATGCTTAACCAAAGTTGGTGTTAGGGTTTCTCACATGGTGATCACCTCAAAAGTGTGACCAACTCCTTCGTTTTCTCACCTTTACCCAGTGATTTGTGTCTAAAGGGTAATCTATTAAGTCCTCTCCATGATCTTACAACATTATTTAAAATGGTTTTTCATTCGAATATGTGCCAGTTATTTGCTTGTTACAGTTTCTTTGGTGAAGACTGGTATTAGATAATTGTTCTAGAAGGAGTTGAATTTCGAAGTTCTCTCTCTCTCTCTACCACCCAAAAAAAGAAAAAATTTGTTTTTTTTTTTTTTTGGTTTGTGGTGGGGGGAGATGGGGAGGTGAGGGCAGTGGCTTCACTCGTGGATCTGGTTTTTCTTTTGGTATGAATTGGTTTTTCTTTTGGTTGAAGTTGTCTTTCTGTTGGTTTCATGTCCTGATGTCTATGCGAGATGGAGCTTATAATTACCAGTTTTCACTTGATGGTTTATTTGCTGATATGCTTATGTTTGTTTTTTCAATGCATGATGCAGTGCCTTGATGAGAACAAGAAGTTGATTTTGGCGATCTTGGACAATCAAAATCTTGGAAAACTTGCCGAATGTGCTCAGTAAGTGTCTGCTTCTTTGTGTGTGTGTGTGTTTTATCACCCATGTTTGCATGAGAATAACATTTCTCCATTCAAAGAAATTTTAATTATTCATCGTTTGGATCAACCATATCTTATCAAGTAATGTAAATGGTATCACTCTCTCGCATGTATTGTGTAATGCATGGGGCTGGAAATTGTGGAATCTGCTTCTATCTATTATCAGCAAATGCTCGTCTGTAATTAATTGGTTTGAGACTTCTTTATGGAAGCTGCAGTCAGCAATTCAGATTTGGAAATTGATTTGACTGCTGTTTCATAATGTGTTGACCTGAGAGGTTATTTTGTCTTGACTGGCATTCCGTAATGTGTGGACCTAAGTGGCTATTTTATCTGGTCCATCAGATGGTGAATGTTGGTTGTGAGATATCAATTACTGTTTAAGAAATGGGTGTGTACGTTGTTTCATCAATTGTTGGTGTTGTGCAAAGTGCACGCTGTCAATAATTGTTGGAGTAGCAGGTGTTTGGAACTTGGATTCTAGAAGCGACTGATAAAAGTGTTCCTGATTTGTTTATTTGTTGATGTGCTATTACTTGTGTAAAGCTCTATGAATGCAAGAATGTTTTGTGAGTGCTCCAGCACTTGGGAGGTTCAAGATTCATACCAGTGCAATATGAGATGTATGTTGATCTTGTATTGCTCTGTGTTGTAATTCAAATGGAGTGGACTTCATTTAACTGAAAGAAATGTGTTTCTCTTTGTATGGGGAGTGGGTGTGGCCCGTGGGGGTCTGTGTGCATGTGTACATTCGTTGGTGGGTGTATGCTCGTGGAAGCAGGTGTGACATTAACTGACTCATCTGATTCTGTATTGGTCTGTTTGTGTGCACGTCTTTTGACATTCATGCGACAAACAAATGAGATTCTGGATGACGTAGGTACCAGGCTCAACTGCAAAAAAATCTGATGTATTTGGCTGCAATTGCTGATGCCCAGCCACAGGCACCAGCAATACCTCCCCAGGTGTGTTGTGGATCCAACTGGTTCACATCTTAGCCAGATTTGCCACACACTTGGAGCTTACCTGTTCTATTAGCATATGCAGATGGCTCCGCATCCTGCAATGCAACAGGGAGGATTTTATATGCAGCATCCTCAGGCAGCGGCCATGGCTCAGCAACCAGGTATTTTTCCCCCAAAGGTGCCCTTACAGTTCAATAACCCACATCAAATGCAAGGGCAGCAACAGCAACAAAAACAGCATCTACACCAACAGGGCATCCATGGGCAAATGGGTATGCGACCTGGAGGGGCCAACAATGGCATGCACCTTGTGCATGCTGAGGCGGCTGTTGGAGGTGGTGGTCCCCATGCTACTGCAGGCTTAAGTGATGTTCGCGTAGGATACAAGCAAGATGCCTCTGAGGCTGCGGCCTCTGGTGCTGATGGCCACGGCAGCTCAGCTACTGGACATGGTGGTGGAGATGGGGATTCATCCTCGGTGAAGGGTTCAGAGGAAGCCAAGTGACGTTGCCTTATGACTTGGTCCCACATGTTTGCATGTGGCTGTTGATAATAGAGGCCTCTTACTGTAGAATCAATATGCCTGGTGGTCTTGTGGCATCGAACAGGCTTCTTGTTGTTCATGCTGTAGAACAGGTAGGGTGGTGTTTTAGTAGCGAAGGATTGATGTGTTTTAGTAGCAAAGGATTGATGTGTTTTAGTAGCGAAGGATTGTTGTGTTGTAGTTGCATCTCCCTGTTGTAATAATGAACAATAGAATGTAGTCTCTCAGCTTTGATGCTTGTCATTCCATAATAATTCAAACCTGATGCTGCTTGTTCTGCAACAGTGATCTGCACAAAGTTTTCATGTTGGCAATGATCCTTTAGGCCTCAAAGGGTTCCTAATTGATGAGTTCGTGTAGGAAGAACTTGTACAATTAGTAAATTGCTCCTGTTCTGTGAAGGAAGCGATGAACTATTTTTTTTATTAGTAAGTTGAGCAGGGAATGTGATCCTAAATTTCTGTTGATATGTAGTTCTGGCCTCGAGAAATGTTTTGTTTGTGAATGAGAGGATGGACGAGGGAGGAAGGAGGATAAATATGTAGAGGAGGATTTTTCATCCTTTGATTCCAAAGGAAAATTGAGATAAATTGCATTTAGGAATGCTCTGCTGTCTATCGTGAGCTTAGCTATGCTAACTTATCTTCTTGATGATACTGATGATTATGTTTTTACAAACAATACGCTGCTCTGCTGTGTTAGTTTTTGGGGGATGGGGGTGTTCTTTGGTGATTCGAGTTTTCCAAAGACGGATACCATTTCAGCGGTATGTAATTCCAAACCAGTTGACGTGTGGAACGCTTTACTCCTTAGTAGGTCGTTGCATTGTCCTTCCTAGTTTTTTTTTTTATCTTTCCAAAGTCCAAGTTTTGCTTGATTTGTTGTGCGTTTTAAGGCACATAAGAGTGTTTTTTGGGGCACTAGACCAAAGTTTACTACAAGATAAGAGGTGAGTCCAATGTCTAAATGTAGGAATTCATTGTGAGAGGCACACTAGACTTGGTAACAATTTTGCATTATTTTTCTTAGAAAAATACAATGTCTAATGCTATAATGGGGGGTCAATACCTTGATAAGTAATTGATGGAATAGGAAAAACTATTTGGAGCTAAAATGCTTATCTGATTTGTTGATCTAATTAGGTATTATCATATATTTAATTGTGGATATCAATATTTATTGGGATTAATTATCAATTTAATAGTTGTGATTGATTATGTGAATTTTAGGTTCAATTAATATTACTCGATGGAATATTACAAATAAATGGGAGAAAATTTATCTAGAAAGTGAAGAATTTAAAGACGAAACTGAAAAGGAAANTTATTATCATATATTTAATTGTGGATATCAATATTTATTGGGATTAATTATTAATTTAATAGTTGTGATTGATTATGTGAATTTTAGGTTCAATTAATATTACTCGATGGAATATTACAAATAAATGGGAGAAAATTTATCTAGAAAGTGAAGAATTTAAAGACGAAACTGAAAAGGAAAAAAGAAAAGGCAAAAGCAATGCTGAAGATATTGACACATAAGTGTGACGAAGAAATCATTTCACTTAAAACAAATAAGATGCCATTATTATTACGCCAGAAATTTTTAATAGGACGGACGGACGGACGGACGGCATTTGAGCTTACCGCAAAAAGTTACGTAGACGAAACAAAACANATTTTTAATAGGACGGACGGACGGCATTTGAGCTTACCGCAAAAAGTTACGTAGACGAAACAAAACATTGAATTTTAGTTGGGCAGATCAGATCAGAGTCCTTTTCTTCTCCTCCTCCTCCTCCTCCTCCTCCACACAAAAGATTGGAAAAGAAAAAAGCAGCGCCAGCGGGCTGCTACTTTTTCTTTTCTCATCAAAGTAGATGGTAGATGCTACTTGTATTACTAAATACTATNGTCCTTTTCTTCTCCTCCTCCTCCACACAAAAGATTGGAAAAGAAAAAAGCAGCGCCAGCGGGCTACTTCTTTTTCTTTTCTCATCAAAGTAGATGGTAGATGCTACTTGTATTACTAAATACTATCTTTGGCTGTGGTATCTAGGGCGGGCTTGCAATTTACGAACTTGTTTACTTCTTTTTTTCCCCTTACGTCCTCGATCAAAATTGTCAGCCCCATTTGGAGTGGGAGGGTGTGTTAATAAGGCTCCACTAGTCTTCTTCAAAACAACAATTGTCTTAATCGTGTGGTTTCATGTCTCTTGTCTTTGATACTGATTAACTATAAATACAGTAGGAGGCTATCAAACGTAAATGGAACAAGTAGGAATCAGATATTTAAAGTATAATACCATCCAGTCCAGACGAGAAGTGGTAACAACTTCATTCGGTAATTACCAAACTTCTGAGAGGAAGAAAACAAATGACCACAAAATGTAATAATTCTTGGTTTAGGTTTTGGTAATGACAAAGAAATCTTAACCGACCCACAAAAAATTAAACCACAAAGTCCAGTCCTGAATATATTGATGGAAACAAACACCCAGGTCACATTTGATAGGTAATAACTACTAAACATTAGCATATTAGCCATATGTATATAGCCATATGTGACGTTTCCCGGTCGTTTTCATAAACCTTGTGTGTAGTAATCACGCAACCAACCCAACCACACCACATCCTTCTCTTTCATTAATAAAGCTTTGCCATTGATATCTAAAACATCCCTCTTTTATTACTCAAGTTTTTAAGCAATTGAAATTGTCAAACAAAAAAAAAACCAAGAAATACAACATGAAAGAAGAACATCAACCTCAGCTCCAACAACACCACCATCTCCACCACAACCATCAAAGAAAAATTGCCGTTTTTGCTCGCAAGAAGTTCACTAGGCCCACAGCCTATGCCATCTTCCTTCTCCTCTCCTACACCTTGGGTTATCTGTCTGCACCCTCCTGCAATCCACAACGTTTTTTAATCCCAAGAACTCCCAAAGTCGCAGACACCACCACAACCACCACCAGGAACACCGAACTCGACCACTACAGTTTCACCACTTCTCAGTGTGGCGACCCAATTCCGCCCAAATTCGTCCGCCAAACAATTCTGGATCGCGTTTTCAACGGCACGTCTCCGTATGACAACTTCCCCCCACCGTACGTTAGTCCTCTTCTCCGTCGTAAGAGAATCAAAGGGTGGGGGTCAAATGGCGCTGTTTTCGAGAACCTAATCCGCAAAGTCAAACCCAGGACTATAATTGAGGTGGGTACGTTCTTGGGCGCGTCAGCACTTCACATGGCCGGGTTGATTCGCCAACTCGGACTTGATGAAACTCAGATTCTGTGTGTCGACGATTTTCGGGGCTGGCCCAACTTTCGTGACCGGTTCAGGGACATTAAGATGTTAAACGGTGACGTAATGCTTCTATATCAGTTCATGCAGAACGTAGTTAATCTAAACGCGACGGAGTCAGTTGTCTTCATGCCGTTCTCAAGCGGGTCAACTCTTGAGAAACTGTGTGAGTGGGGTGTGTTTGGCGACCTGATCGAAGTTGACGCGGGCCATGACTTCCACTCGGCCTGGTCCGACATAAACCGGGCATATAAGATACTAAGAAGACCAGGTGGAGTTATTTTCGGGCATGACTATTTTACTTCAGCTGACAACAAAGGTGTAAGAAGAGCTGTCAATATGTTTGCCCGAGTTCATGGTCTCCGGGTCCAACTGGATGGCCAACACTGGGTCCTCGACTCGGCTTAACACGGGTGGTACGTTCACTCATTTTTATTTTGCCTTGAATATTGGTGTACAATCACGGAATTTTATACAGGAAATTAAGAGATTAGTATGATGATGATGATGCATAAGTCTTTTGTTTTTGGACAGTTAATGGACATTTATATGTTTCGGGAGACTTGATGGACATATAGGGTGGGTGGG